ACTTTGCGCGGCATTGTCTGCTAACATTATTATGAATTGGTGATGACAACCTGGTTTGTATGTTAGCTCAGTTAGTTATTTGCTACATCATATCTATGGGGTTAAATTTCAGGCACGCATAAATTATTTCACTATAAATTTATTATACATGTCACCACTCTTACCACCTCGACTAATAATGCTGTGGTAACTAACACCTTCAAGATAATTCAATTTATAGGCGTGCGGGTCGTCATGTAATTAAACCAAGAAGAATAACTGATCATTCAGCAACCTTAATTGACAATATTTATTCAACTCTATTGATCAAACCACTAGTGGTAACTTAATCTGTGACTTATCTGATCATCTCCCAAATTTCCTGATTATTAATAGGCTAACAACTAATAGATCTAAACATCATATATATAGAAGAGACTTCTCTAATTTCAGTGAAAATGAATTTTTAGCGGATGTTCAGTCGATTGACTGGGATGAAGTATTGCCTGCAGAGTCAGATGAAAATTTGTTTTTTGAATCTTTCCATAGCACGATAAGTGAAATTATTGACAGACATGTGCCCCTAAAAAAATTATCCAAGAAAGAATCACGATTACATGTAAAACCTTGGATCACCAAAGGTCTCTTGGCCTCTATTACCAATAAAATCAGACTATACAAGTCTTACTTAAAATCTAGGAGCTCTTATTTTTTATCTAATTTTAAATATTATAGAAATAAGTTGAAACATTTAACACTAATAAGCAAAAAATCATATTACAGTAGTTATTTTTTAAGAAATAAGGATAATATTAAAGGAGTATGGAAGGGTATTAAAGAATTAATTACGATTAAAAATAGTAATAATCATATGCCTACTAAATTGGAAATAGGAAATTTAATAGTTACTAACAGGCAAAGCATTGTTAATGCATTGAACGATTAATTTGCTAATATTGGCCCAAATGTTGCTAAAACTATACCAGCTGCTAATATTACACCTTTCCAATACATGACTAACCTACTGTGCAATAGTTTTGCTTTGTTTCCTGTTATTTCTCATGAGATCATTGATGAAATCAATAATTTAGATCCCTCTAAATCGGTTGGTCCTTTCAGTGTTCCAATTAAATTATTAAAAATTATTAAACATTTTTTGGCTGGACCTTTAGCGTTACTTTATAATTGTTCCTTCGCTACAGGTGTAGTACCAGACAAGTTTAAAATTGCTAAGGTTGTTCCCATCCACAAGAAAGGAGCCAGAGTTGTTACTTCAAATTATCGCCCCATCTCATTGTTCTCAATATTTAATAAATTACTTGAGAAATTAATGTATAAAAGACTTGTAACATTTCTCGAGAATAATAGTGTATTTTTCAATGGTCAATTCGATTTTCGATCTAATCGCTGTACTGTGCATGCTACACTACTTATTATAGACAAGATTCAAAATGCTATTGAAAAAAAAAGCAATACTCATGTGGTATATTTTTTGAATTTAGCAAAGCGTTTGATACTGTCAATCATGAAATTTTATCTAGAAAATTGGAATATTATAGGATAATGGGAATTGCTAAAGACTGGTTGTGTTCATACCTTGCTAATAGGTATCAATTTGTTTCTTTTGGTGATATAAAGTCAAAACTTAAGCGATTGATATGTGGTGTTCCTCAGGGGTTAGTTCTTGGTCCTCTTTTATTTCTCTTATACATTAACGACTTTAATAATTCTGCTCCTGACTTGGATTTTAACGTATTCGCTGATTACTCTAATCTATTTTGTTCACATAAGAGTTTGCAGCATTTGGATACAATGTTGAATAACCACTTATATAATGTTAATGAGTGGCGTTGTGCAAATAAATTATCTTTAAACATTGAGAAATCTAATTTTGTAGTTTTTCATCGACCTCAAAAGAAATCTCAATATTCGATGAACCTTAAAATTAACAATAAAACGTTACAAGAAAAGAGTAGCATAAACTATTTGGGAATCATTATTGATCACTATTTAAATTGGAAAGAGCATGTATCTCAACTATCTAGAAAAATATCTAGAGGTATTAGGATCTTGTCAAAACTCCGACACTTTGTCCCAATTAAAATTCTGTTACAAATCTAGTATTCCATTATTTACCCCTTTCTGTCATATGGCGTGATTATATGAGGTAACACATACAACTCAAATATTCTGCCATTAGTAACTTTGCAAAAAAAGGCTTTTCGAATTATTACGTTTTCTGACTTTCGAGCGCATGCTTCAGCCCTTTTTGAGAAAATGAGCTTACTTAAACTGGTTGATATTATTTACCTCAACACTGCATTATTTATGTATGACCATCAAAATGGAAATCCTCCTGACAATTTTAGCGATTTCTTCTCCTCTGTTAGTGCTAGACATAACTACGAAATAGACTAGGAACTAGCAACTAAAAATACGTTATCGATGCCTCAAGTTAGAACCAATTACAGGAAATTTAATATTAGATTTATTGGTCCTAGTAGATTGTCTTTTAAAAATGAACTAAAACGAAAAATAGTTAATGAATATGAGGATTAATGGCAGTTTCGCCATTAAAAGATTCTGCCATTTAAATCTCTTTTGAGTCTCTGTTTTTGTTCGTATTGTGTCTGTTTTTATATCAGTTTTGTCTGTGTGTCTGAGCTAATTAAAATATAAATTGTTTTGTAAAAATTCCCCAATTGTTCGTAAATGTATAATCTTTGCTTTAATGGCCGCTTGTCTCGATTATCCCCAATGGTTATTACAGGCGAACAGCACTACACCTATATGTTTATGTACCCTAATATAAATAATTATTCATGTATTTATAATCAAATAGTGCTCAATAAAAGTTTCTTCTTCTTCTTCTTCTTCTTCTGTGAAACAGAAGCTTTACAGATGCTTCTGTGAAGCTTCACAGAAGCTTTACAGAAGCTTCTTAATTTAAGACTATAGTCATGACTATTAAGACTATAGTCATGACTATTAAGACTATAGTCAGGACTACGAACTATCTAGAGTGGCTCCGAACTATTGAGAACTCGGCTACGAGCTATTTAGAGTGATTCCAAGCCTGTCGAGATTGGCTCGAGAAATCATACAATATTTTAGGATGGCAATATATTAAGGATTGAATCACGCAGTATCTTAATTAAGATGTCCTACAGTATCTTAGCATATCAATATCTTAGGGTATCATACAATATCTTAAGACATCATACAGTATCTTAGGATGTCATACAATATCTCAGGATATCATACAGTATCTTGCAATATCATACAGTATCTTAGGATATCATACAACATCTTAAAATATCACACAGTATCTTAAGATATCATACAATATCTTAGGATATCATACAGTATCTTAGGATATCAATTACTTAGGGTATCGTTCAGTATCTTAGGATATCAAGATCTTAGGATATCAATATTTTAGGATCTCAATGTCTTAGGATATCATACATTATTATATACACAAGGTGTAGATATGAGGTATCCTGCAATCTGATTGGTTTTCTACTAGCAGGATATTAGCTCATATCCTGCTAGTAGAGAAACACAAAATGGCGGCCAAACTGAATTTACGATGTTTTGCAAAAGAGAAAACGGCAAGTTGTCGCTTTTTATAGCCTTCACAGGATTAAAAACACGATGAAAACTCCCACAAATTGTTTTCAGGTTAGCAAATAAATTTTAAAATTTAAAATGGTTAAAAATATATATTTTTGAGAAAATAATCGGCCGAAGTATAGGCCATACAGTATCTTACGATATCATACAATATTTTAGGATATCATACAGTATCTTAGGATATCATACAGTATCTTAGGATATCAATATCTCGGATGATGAAAACAGCCACGATGACGAATTGGATAGTGGCAACGTCTCAAACAAGTGACGATATATATTAGAAGCAGAACTTTGCAAAACATTTTGAAGAAATAAATGTATTTTAAAAGTGAAATCTTGTGCAAACCTTTGCCTACAAAGCCAAGCTCCCGATTTTAAGGTAATAAATAATCCCTATCTATCCATACTAAGCACTTTGGAAGTTACAACATCTTGGAGTCAGTGGCCCCCTACTTTTATGTTTCAAAACCTATCTCACCGGGAGAAAACAACCTGTCGTCATCAATGGTACCCAATCATCGTGTGTAGAAGTTAAATCTGGTGTTCCACAAGTACCCATACTGGGATCCGTTTTATTTTTGATCTACGTGAACGACATGCCAGAGGAGGTAAAAAATTCGCTCATAGCAATGTTCGCTGACGACTCGAAATGTTACAAATGTATTACTTCGGAAGTGGACTGTGCTGCCCTTCAGGAAGATATGAATGCGTTAAATGACTGGGCGAAACTAAACGAACTAGAGTTTCAGCCACGAAAATGGAAAATCTCCGCATTTCTCGCAAGCGTTTCAGCTTTAGCCGCTTCTAAAGAATTAACCATAATGCAGAACTCAAATGTGTAGACTTTCAAAAAGACCTTGGCGTGATCGTGACTGGTAATCTTCTTTGGAATAGTCACATTGACTCTATATCAGCTAAAGCAAACAGAATGTTCGGCTTTCTGAAACGCAATTGCTCTAAAGAAATTTCAACCAATGCGCTTAAAGTTCTTTACTTAGCTTTAGTAAGATCGCACCTCGGCTACTGCAGTCAGATCTGGGCTCCCCAATCAGTAATCAGAAATATATTACTGGTTGAATCTGTTCAGCGTAAAGCTACAAAGTTTGTTTGTAAGTTATCCAAAACAGATCACTATAGTTATAGGGATCGTCTTGTCTACCTTAATCTATTACCACTTAATTATTGGTTAGAATATCTAGATCTTGTATTTTTTCTCAAATGCAAATCCGACGATAATTCTATTAAGCTAGATAATTATATGCCATTCTGCACTGGAACTTCACGTCGCTGTACGACTGGCTTGTACCTAAGACTCAAAACTATTCCTAAAACATCGACATTTAGAGACTCTGATATTCCTCGTATTGTCCTTATGTGGAACGCTCTACCCGATGATGTCAAGTCTTGCACTTCTTTACCATCGTTCAAATGTAGACTAAAGAACTTCTTCTTCAATAAACTTCGTGTACTATTTGACCAGGACAATATTAGAAGGTATAAGTTGATTGTCCTGAATGTCGTCACAGTAACACTCTTAATTTATGTTCGTGTTAATACCGTTTTAATTGTAATTGTAAGTCTTGTAATTGTATTGTCTTGAGTTAGATTGATTAGGAAAGGGGATACATTTTATATTAGTTTAGTTACAGGTGTTCAAACCTTGTATGGGACCTCGTGTCCTATTGTTTGTCCGCCTAGTATATGTAATTATACTGAATTTTAAAAATAAAATTAAAAAATAAAATTAAGCTTGTGATCCATTAATGACTGTTAATAACTTTGGCGGTATACGTTTTAGAGAGCCACAAACGACAACATTTCGATATATCTTGCATATAATCTGTAATAATTAACTCTCTGTTCGTTAGTATTTTTTTTCCTTTCTCAAGGCTCACTGTGGGAAATAAAAATATTATATATATCCACACGGGGTGGGCGGGTTAATCACTTTTTAATGACTCTGCAATACGCAAATATCGACAAAAAAACGGCGTTGACAACGATCTTAACGTGGGTTTAGCAACTGCTTATAGTTCTGTTTGAAAATTTTCATATGTATGTCTGGATTTTTATTATTCCTTAAATAGTCCTAAAATTGGTGAATACATCCACAGGGAAGACCAAGGATGTTGTTAATGTAGTGGACCCTCTAAGATAATCTAATAAAACCTTGTAATACGATGAATTCAAATACACCTTTTATACTCTATTTCTATTTTCGTTTATGATTTTGGGGAATTTTGAATAAACTGGCCGGGATATTCTCTGCAGAATTCCCCTCGGAATCCCCCAGAATTCTCCCCGGAATTTCCGTAATACACAATTCTCACTGCACATGTATACAATATCTACGTCCCGCAAGCATTACAGCAACTTTAATTAATAAAATATATATCGAGAACGTGTAATTTAAAATTCACTCAGTTTGTTAAAAGGAATATATGTGGGGATAAATATTAGCAAAGTATTAAGGTTTAAAAATTTACTTAATATGTCAGTAATCATTGGTCCACACCGTTTAAATACATTACAAGCAGGTGCAATTGGCATGAAATTATACTGTGATAACGTCAAGGGTGGTGCTTAGTGCACCACCCGCTCCAGAACCCCTACTTTATATACTACTCTCATTTTCTCTTCATTGCAGAGTTTTCAACTTGTTATGACGCTAACAAATTTGAATAATTTCAGACTGTTTTTCGTATTCTATTTCTAAAACTGGTCGATGACATATTTAAAACGTTATACCTTTTATAGTTCCATGGGCATTAATTAAAAAAATGCTTTATATAGTCATTAGCATGTTTAATAACTGGTACTTAGGGACAGAAACAATTATTCGCTTAAAGCAAATGATAATTTCTGGTGTTCTCACAGCTGCTAAAGCTTACTGCATGTGTCCACTAGCTGCACTTCTAAGTTACTTTCAGAAAACAGGAAAAGCGAATAAGACGACTCACTTCTTTTGGTAAGTTTGTGTAAGTTCCTGATTATATTTTCTTCAATTCAGTTAGTTTCAAATCATCTTGCGTAGAACTGAAGCAAAAGCTGGCTAATAAACCTTTTACGTTCCAGCTGACCGTCGTCAACACAATTTGCCGTACGTGCGGAATAACAACAAAATCTCTGAAAAAGTTGGGAATATAGTAGTAAGTTTTTCTTAATTCCTACTAATTTTTTAGGTTTATACATGGTTTACAGTAATAGTCAAATAATTAAGAAGTCTGTTATATTTTTGAACACGGTTGTCAAGGTCACACGTTTTAGCCATTAAATATTGCGACAATAGTTCTTGCATGCCTGAATCGGCAAAGTTAAAAGTACGGGCTGATCATGAATTCAGCGACTGTTGAAAGGAATCGGCAAATATTGTCACTAGGTTCAATGACTATTTTATTATATGCACGGGTGCATAGGTAACCGTTGTGTTGTTAAAAACTCGTTTCCTCAAGCATTGCGTTTCCCATTTATTTTTCACTGCTTTTCAAGGAGATTATTTGTTGTGGATATATCTTTTGTTTCGCCAAGCATAAGAATTCTGCCATAGTCTCGGACTGAAATACAGCCGAACAAGATTGATTTTAAAAGTAACACCTTGTTATGTAGAAGTGAAGTTAAGAAGAACTTGTTTAGCATTAAAACCCTTAAATATTGTATGAAAAATAGTAGTTTTTTTTCGACAATGGCCAGTTCACAAAAATTAATGGGCAGCAGTTTTTTCTCAGGTTTTGTCAAGGTATTGTAGATTGCCGTACTGAAAAGTCCGTAAAAGTGTAGTTAAGAATCTCTGAATACAGAACTTGCCGGTAGCAGTTAGTCCTAACTCTCGTTGCGAATGAGTCACAGGTCTTTCGATGAAACGCAGCTCGTCGGCAATCAGATCATATGCAATCGATTTCGCAGTAAATGTTCTATAAATATCGTGAGCCGGCCGAATACAAGAGTCAGAAATGCAGACGTTTTTCTTCAATGCACTTTGGATGGAATGTTTGTTTGCCAACACACGTGGATATGCTTGTAGCGCCTAAATAATCCTAATTATTAGTCTTTTCAACACTGTAAAAACTGATTGGTCGAAATGACCAAAATAAATTGGTCACCTGGATGCATCTTGGAGAACCAATTAAAAATGGTCGATTTAACCAATAAAATCAACCGTTAATTATTTGGTCAGTTCAACCAAAAATAATTGGTTAATATAACCATATATTGTTGGTTGTTTTGACCAATTAATAAAATGGTTAATTTGATTGGTTAAAACGACCATTTTTAATTGGTTCTCTCAGATGCATCCAGGTGACCAATTATTTTGGTCATTTCGACCAATTTGTTGTCACAACCTATATACTACATTAAATGAAGAAAATTTGTGAGCCATACATCATTGAGCATATATACATGGAATTTAATAAATAGTATATAAATACAATATAATAAGACAATTAAATAAGCTAGATCTATAATGCATACATTCATTACGAAATTGTCAGTTCTATTTCGTCATTGCCAGGAAATGTTCGACATTCGCCCGCACAGCAGTCTTTGCTCGGATATTAAAATATGTTCCAAAAAAACAAATATGTTCTTGCTGTGCCCAGTTGTACCTCGTGGATGCTGAGCATTAAAAGCATGGTAGGCTGCAAGCAGACTAACTACGGCATTTAAAATGCCTATCCTCTTAAACTTAGCCACAACCATTCCTTCGGCGATTAGCAGCAATATGTGTAGCTTGCCAAGTGATCCAACCAACCTTGGTGATGTGCACGCCGCCACTTTTTTGCTGACTTCACCCACTGTATCATCCTGAAAATTGTGAACAAAGACATAAGTTAACCCATTGAGTTGCATTGTGCCCTGATTGTGCCACACTTGTTATTTACTCTGTGTAACTCCAGTCGATTCGGAATATTTAGCTTACCATGCTCCTTAAATGAGTGATAGCCAACTCCGTGAAACGTTGCTATTCGGCTTTTAGTATCAACACATATCCATAGTCGAGTTCTAGATCTCTTGAATATCACGCGAAAGCATGATTCTGTCAGTAATAATGTTATAAATACAGAGATTTAAAGAGCTTTGATAGGGAAGCCATGTATAAACAGATTTGGGCGTAAAGGCTCCGCGCCAATCCTGCTTAATAGTGCAGTTGATCATGCAAATGAGCTGTCGTTTCTATTCGGACGCTCACATTCGCTTTGAGCGTGCGATGGAAAATGTGTTCCCAGTCTCTGGAACATTGTTTCTTTTTGAAACCCTTGATTGTCTTCTTTCTAGTTCTCGTCAGTTCATCTATATTGTTTTAAATATTTGTTGTATCGTGAACCTTTGCCATGTTGTCGTGGAAGACCTATTTCTCGTGAACTGATTTTAGACATCAGCGCACTTCGCACGGAATTTTTGTTTTTGGCACAAATGTAGGCATGAAGCGCCTGAATGATCCAAATTCTATAGATTGAATAGATAGAAAAACTTTATTTATCCACGCTAACCCTGTCAACCGAGGCTGATTTCCACAGAGGGCGTGTAAAAAGGAATTACAAAAATTATAGTATTTAAAGCTATTTACAATCTATAATATCAACTAAGTTATATAAACTATAAATAAGTCATATAAATATTTACAAGTTTTTATAGGTATTCAGTTTCTTAGAATCTTTTTTTAGTTAAAGAATATGAGTAGCAATTTTATTTTGAAAACATGACAGGGATTTGCTTTCCCTAATTTCAATTGGAATGGAGTTCCATAAGTGAACAACGTTATCGTTATACATGAAACTATTTTTCATGTTATTTGCTCGAGGTTGTGGTAAACAAAGACAACTGGAAACGTCCCGAAGTTTGTAATTTGTCATCCCACTTTTATACGTGAAAAGGTTTGTGAGTGACTCAAGACCCATTTTATTCAAAATTTTGTACATTAGTTTTGCTTTTGCCTTTTCTCTTATTGACTGAAGTGGCTCCCAGCCCAAAGCCTGTAAAGCAATAGTGTGATCTATATCGTTGCTCATACTCATGATAATTCGAGCAGCTCTATTTTGAAGCTTCTGAAGTAGTTTTGACTGTGTTTCACCAAACACATCCCACACTTCACAACAATAATCGAAATGTGGACGAACAATAGCATTATATGTCGAGATTAGTGTATATTTATTAACAAAAGGTTTAACACGACGGAGAACAGAGATTCTGGATGTTATTTTCTAGCAAATATTTTCAGTATTACGTTTCCAAGATAAACGCTGGTCAACTATTATTCCAAGAATTTTGCATAAACTTTAAATTCATAAACTTTTTTAATTTGTTTGTTGAAAATTATTTTATCATTCGTTTTGAGCCAATCAACATGAATTCAGTTTTAGCTACATTCAAGCTAAGTTTATTGGCCATCAACCAGTTTCTAAGATTTTATAGATCAGAATTTACTGCAATCTCAACATCAGTCATTGAGTCTCCAGAAGCCGTGAGATTTGTATCATCAGAAAATAGGCGAGGTC